AAACCAAACCCCCCCAACAAAAAACAAACGAAAAACCGATAAAACAAAACCAAACCCCCCCTCCCAAAAACAAACACATGAAGGTATTTTGTTTTTCATAGAGAAGTGTAAAAAAAAAAAAAGCATGAGATATTTTGTATTACATACAGAAATGTAAAAAAACAAAAAAAAAACAACTAAAAAAACATGAGATATTTTGTATTACATACAGAAATGTAAAAAAACAACAACAACAAAACTAAAAAAGCATGAGATATTTTATTTTGTATTACATACAGAAATGTAAAAAAACAACAAAAAACCTAAAAAACCATGAGATATTTTGTGTTGCATACAGAAATGAAAAAAAAAAACCCACAAAAAACCCCCCACAAAAAAACATGAGATATTTTGTGTTACATAGACAAATGCATGTAAACCCCCCCCCCCCCCCCAAAAAAAAACCAACCCCATGCAATATTTTATGACATGAAACATTGAAAATGAAAAGCAACTTAACTCTTGAGGATCAGATGTACATGAATAGTTTCACTACCGTAACCCCTTCAAATCAATGTCATCATTGGCGAACCAGGTACATCACAGAATTACACAAGATGTCACATCTTGACATGTGAGAGGTGTAATTCTCATGAAATTGAAGATGAATTTCACTTTATTTTCTATTGTTCACACTTTGTCCACCAAAGGAAATTGTTAATCCCTCTCAGCCTGACTCGCCCCAGTGACAGAAATATGCAATGTTTGACTCATGATAAGAGATATGTGCACAACCTGTAGCCTACTTATTTATTATGGAAACTTTATCTATCAAATGAGTGTTTTGTGTGATGTGATGTGGGCCAATATGGCCTTAAACACTGAATAAACTTACTTACATCTCGACATTATACCAGGGAATGCAGAAAGCATCATATGGACAGGATTTTAAAATTAAACCATTAATCTCTTAAATAACCCAATGGATTATAAGATACAGACAAGCGTCCATTTTGGTGACTCATTAGCTAAAGAAACACATTTGATGTACATGTACCGGTACTAAGAAAAGGCTTTTTTCATGTTTTAGTTTCAGTTAGTTTTCCCCAGCACTTGCAATACAAGTCAGGTCATAATATCAATATAAGTGCCCAAGATTTGAAGTGTTACTAGCAAGTAAAATACAAAGAAAAGAAAAGAAGGAGGAGAGATCTCAAGGATGATAGATGTTTGACAGGAAAGAAGGAGCAGACCACACCAGAGCACTCGCCAACCACCCACTGATAGATGTTTGACAGGAGAGAAGGAGCAGACCACACAAGAGCACTCGCCAACCACCCACTGATAGATGTTTGACAGGAGAGAAGGAGCAGACCACACAAGAGCACATCCCACAGCTTTTTTGAGGGGAACACAAACATGAAAATGAATTAGAAATGGCAGCAGTCCAGTAAACATCGGGTGGAGAGCAACATCCTGGAACAAAGGTTTCTACTACAACAGGATGGAATTTTCGCAAAAGGGAATACCGGCAGCCTATTGTGATGTCAGAGATTGTCTGAATATCACCACACAAGTATATTCCCTCCATTGCACCCCCCCCCCCCCAACCACCATCTGCGCCCATATTTTACTAGGGCCAATACCACCAGGGTAAAAATTTACAAATTTACTGTCTTTCAAATCTGTCCCCATAATTTAGCAAAATTTGATCATTTTTTGCATAATTTCTGATAATTTTCCTTTACCATTCTTTGTTAAAATTAACATAATCGCGCTCATATGACCTTATGCAGTTGCGAGCGCCGTAAAACCTTTACTAAAACTAAAAAAGGATAATTTCACATTTTTGGGCTCAGTTTGCATTTAAATTTCAAAATTTTTCTTGCATAAAACGACGGGGGCAGTCAAATGCACAGTAGCAAGGTGCACTCACTAAATGACTCCGAGAGAGGAGTGACGATATGTTGTCTGGTGAAATATCCGCTTGAGAAGCTGCGACGTCCACAAATTTGAGGACAGCAAACTCCAAACTTGGCAGACGCGTCAACCACAGGCGATGGAGAACATTCTTCGGGATGCCATCTGGTGATCCAATCAGACACAGTTTAGACTAAGGTTAAACCCCGCGGGGCGGTGCTACTGACTGAAGTGTCTTTAGGCCATTCCCAAAGGGGGGGACATTAACATGTTCTTATGCACAGTAGAATTGTAAATGGGCTGATTCATCAATGTCATGCTCATAACTGTGCCTGAATTCGAACATGGAATTGCTGCTTTTTCTTTCCTAATCCTTACTATCGTCATTTTCCTCTACTTCTTTTTTATATGTTTGTCACACTCTTGAGACCCGCTATTTCCGGGGTGCCTTGATAGTCGAAGCAGACTTTGTGCTGTTGAAACTAGAGAGGTGAGCAGAGTAAGCCTGATTCCCTGTAAGGACTTCTCTGTTGACATCCACCCCTTGACGCTCATATGACCTTATGCAGTTGTGAACTCCGTACAATCTCTACTAAAACAAACAAAAGACTAAGGCTGAAGACATTAAAATAATACATGGATATTCATTCATATAAAACCATTACAATTTGAATCAGTTTCATAACTTGAAATATACCACAAACAAAACACAAGAGCATTTTTTTGAGGGACAAATGAAAATTCCCTTGTCTCAGGTGAAGATCCCATGTAACTGATTTTCTTACCTAAGTTAATGTAAATATTTTTCTGACCTCAGTCTGACGCTAGTCAATATATAATATATAGATATGAATATAATCAATGTTTTCCTAACCTTAGTCAATATGAACAATGTTTTTCTGACAATTTTTCCCTGATCTTAGTCTAAAAGAACAATGCTTTTCTCACCTAAACTGATGACCATCAATGATTTATTTATAGAGGCACCAGCCATCCATGTCCAGGTGCTGTTTTAGCCACCTAAACTGATATAAACAATGATAGGACATCCGTATAATACAGAGTTGAAATATAAGCCTCACTTATAGGTTTCAGGAAAAAATGAAAGAAGAGAGAGGATGAGAATATAGGGACAATACAGGGATGTTAGTGGTGCAGATGGTGGAGGTGGTGATGATGGTGGTGGAGGGGTGGGGGGTGGGAGTGGTGGCAGTGGTGGGGCAACACCAAGGAGCAGACAGGCCAGTCAGTCAGTATTTCCCAAAGGTTGACTCAACTGGCAGCAGAGAGATGGTGAAGCTGGTGATGTGTGCTCTAAACTTAATAAGTGAGCAGCCATCACAACTTAACCCTATCACCTATCCATACGTCTTGGGGTTATTTTGTACCCCCGGGGTTGTATTCTTCACATTTTAGAATACTTCTAGTCCGAAGATCTCTTTGAAACTTTCAGTATTTCTCAAAAAATCATTTTGAAAGACAGCTATGCAAAGCGTACGGATCAAATTAACGGAGTAAATGTCTTCCTTGGAAAGTGGTGGCACAGAGTTCCCCACATCGTATGGACAAGATAGTAAACCACGACGTACGGATAAGGTTAAAGAGCAGATAGGACAGACACGACTAGTTCAACTCGCACAGGCACAAGATTTGTTAAGCTATGAAAGAAGATAGTGAATAGTGACAAATATAAAATATACTACATATTACACAAATCTCTTATACAACATCCCCCCCCCCCCCCCATTCCTCTCTTAATCAGTAGATTTGAAGACTTTTTAAAGGATAAAATTTAATCACATGTAATAAAAAGAAGACACTTTGTCTTCAACCAAACGGCAGAACCAGCCACAAGAAAGTCTTACCACATGAGTATCTTTGACCAACCGGCAGAACCAACCATGAGAAAGTCTTACCACATGAGTATCTTCGACCAAATGGCAGAACCAACCATGAGAAAGTCATACTACATGAGTATCTTTGACCAAATGGCAGAACCAGCCATGAAAAAGTCTTACCACATGAGTATCTTCGACCAGACGGCAGAACCAACCATGAGAAAGTCTTACCACATGAATGAGTATCTTCAACCAACCGGCAGAACCAACCATGAGAAAGTCTCACCACATGAGTATCTTTGACCAAATAGCAGAACCAACCATGAGAAAGTCTCACCACATGAGTATCTTTGACCAAATTGCAGAACCAACCATGAGAAAGTCTCACCACATGAGTATCTTTGACCAAATAGCAGAACCAACCATGAGAAAGTCTCACCACATGAGTATCTTTGACCAAACGGCAGAACCAACCACGAGAAAGTCTTACCACAGGAGAACACCTTGTCCTGCCACTCATCCAACTGTCTGTACACCTCAGCCGTCTCTGGGAGATGGCCAAGTCCACACAGTTTGTCCAACAGGACCACCCAAACAGAGGAATATTTCTCGTCTTCAACGTGAGGCAGCAATAAGGAAACAATTTCCGTCAGGACGGGCCCGGACACTGTTTGTGAGTGCAGGAGAGACACGGCAGACTCCAGCTTCTGAAATATATTTCACAAAATGTAACATTTTTACCGTAACACTAAGATTTGAGAAAAAAGATTTATTAATCCTGTGTAAAGAAAAAGGAATATAAATACATGATAAGCACATTATAATAATTATAATAATGATGGTGATGATAATAATAATAGTAATAATGATAATAAGAGTAATAATGCAGATCATTTCTACAGCATTTGCTCCCATACTACACAGGACCTGAGCTCTCGGCATTTTACAATACGGGGCACAAAATAATGTTTTACGACTTTAAGCAATAAGAGAAGGAAGACCAAGATTAATCTTAGCACATATTATAATGCAAGTGAATGAAAAAGCATAATATACGTGCTTTAGAATAACACTACCTATACAATATAGACATTCTCATGACTATCACCATCACAGCACAATCAATGACGATATAATGCACATAACATGAATTAAAGTAATATGAATAAAAACTAACTATCAAAATGATGCATTTCATGAGGTATGTTTTTAAACAAATTCCAAACTTTGCCTGAGCCTCTGTTGGGCCTATTTGTATCCCTCAAATACTCACTGACAAAACATTGATTTCAACATTATAGAGAATCAGATTAAGTGCACTTTTTATACACAGGAACTGAAATTTAATAATATAATAAAAAGTTTTTAAATCTCTAGATACAAAAATGCTCTACATATGATTTCAAAGTTTGGGTAAAAGTGCATTTTAGGTGCGTAAATTATTAGACCAAATGACAAATGTACAACAATTTATAACACGTCATTACTTGTGTTTGTAGCCCTTTACTAGGTCAGACCCAAACAACAACATACATTAGATCTAGGGGATAATATTAGTTGTACAAGTCAGCTATAGTTTTTAGTATGACAAGAAACATGTCATATTTACGAAGCCTGAACTACGAATTTAAACAAATTCATGGAGTCTATAGAAGGGGAAGAGACCATGGGTTGTGCCGAGCTGTCTGCACAATTTTCGTTTAGCACGCATCTAGATTCTATTCAATTTCTGTTATAGTTGTACATTGGGAATTATAATGCTACAAAAACGCAAGTAATGACATGTTTTTGTTGTACATTGAGTCTAATAATTTACGCACCTAAAATGCACTTTGACTACCATTTGTTTCCTACTTTGACTACGGTAGGGTAATCATTCCGTGCTTTTTTGGTAGTTCCCACCACCCCCCCCCCTTATTTGAGCCTGCCTACATCGAGATACGTTTGATGCGCGATGAGCTAAGATATCAAACCTAACAACTGCAAAACATCAGATTATGGCAAATTCAGGGGGGCATGCCCCTCTGAAACCCCCCACCATATTTTTATTAGGTCAGGGGGCAAGCCCCCCTGAAACCCCCCTACTCTTGTTGCCAAAACTGGCGATTAACAATTGCGGGGTGGAACAACCGAAAAAGCGCCAATCATTCTCCAAGATTTTGCATCACCTGTTTTGTATATTCTTGTGTCGACAATGTTACAGGAAAACCTAGGGCAAACAGCTGACTGCTTTCTTGGCTTCCACCAATGCTTTCCGTCATCATAGCTTGTGGGCTGTGTAAATGAAAAAGTTATGTCAAAGGCAAATATATAAATACCACCATTATTATGAGATAACTGTCAAGGTTGATCAACTGCTATAATGTTATTACGGCCGAGAAAAATCACACCAAAACTACACTACATTCTCATTCATTTTCAAGCCAGAGTGCCTTGTTCTAGATTTAGGCCCTCTAGATTTCTAAATCTCTAGATCTAGACTAGAATCTAGATTCTAGATCTAAGCCTCATTACAAAACAATTACAGATTACAGACATGCACAGTCTAGATCTAGAGTCTAGACTAGCCTCTAGGCAATACTCTACTCAGTGAGAGGTAACGAGGAAGGTCTGATAGCTCTGTTATCTCACAGGGCCTATGGAGGTAGGCTATTTGCTGACCCAATCCCAGACTTGGCTCCTCAGCAGACTGCGGCTGAGAATGAAATCAGAATCCTCAGCCTCAGAATCCAGAATCAGAATCTCTGCAGAATAGCAGAATCATTACAATTACTAGATCTACAAGGTAATGCTGATCTACATTAACAGCAGCCTGCAGTGGGGAAAACACTTACAAAAATACGAACAACAGGGCCCTTTTTTTAATGTGTAATAAATAGTAACGTCTAATGTGGTGGTAATAAATAGTAACGTCTAATGTGGTGGTAGCCGAAGTGAAAGTAGAAAGTTCGAAGTTCGAACAACAGCGGCAGCGGTTGTAAAGTCTTTCGAATGTTTCATCTTTATATTATTGATATAATACTTTGTCATTTAAATTTCAAATACGTTTTTCACACACAATGTATTTTCAGTAGTTAGTAGAACCACACAGATTCCTCAGATTACATGTAACCTGGAAAACGAAGAAAATTTCACTGCTCAAAGGGAGCTAAAAAAATGCGACCGAAAAAAGAGATATTATGTGGGTATTGTATTGGTTGACTGTCGTTGGTAGGCGAGTCCGGGAAAGGAAAATCGGCACCGGTAAATCAAGCAAATGTCATAGGTCAAGTTGTTATCGTTCCACGTCATAAGTCATAAGTAAGTTGTTCCAACAAGATCAGGTCCTTGATCTCTTCACTCTTTCTTCTTGACGGTACACCATAGTATGGTTCAACCTCCGCTCGCCGATGGAAGGCCAGGAAGGGATACTGTGAAACGTTGTCAACTTGTTCCCCGCCCCTTTGTTTCAGCTAACTCACAGCCTTCGTAGTACCGGGGAATTAGGCCTGTGTATATTGTGCCCGAGAGTCGAGAAGGGCAAGGCTAAGAGACCCCACCCCCCTCCAAAAAACAACAACAAAACAAAACAATAAACCCACAACAAAACAACTACTAATTTGTCTAATTTACTTTCTAAAAAAATTGTTACCGCGCTTTCAGCATTTTAAATTAAGTAGAATCTACATGTACAATTAGAATCTAGACTGTAACAAAACAACTTATTGCAATCCCCCCCCCCCCCCCCCCCAACCTATCTCCTCCCCGATATCTTTCCTCGGGTATACACGCACGCATGTGCTCATGCCCATGCACGCACAAAACATTATGCGCGCTTGTAGGCCTACTTCATCATCATCATCTTATTATTATTATTATTATTATTATTGTTACTATTGTTATTATTATTGTTACTATTATTATTATTTTTTTAAATTATTATTATTATTATTATTATTATTATTATTATTATTATTATTATTATTATTAAGATTATTTATTATATCATCATTATTATCATCAATCTCTATCACTGTATTGTTATTATAATTATTGCAAATA